CCACACAGAATGTCTCCAAAAGTACAGAAATACACACTCAGGGTCAACCTTATCTGTCTGCAACAGTTGCCACTGCGAAGATACGAATTGTTTTGAATCACAAATTTTCTGCATTGTACATAATCTTCATAATTGTTTAATGCTGTTGTCCAAGGGCATTCGGGTAAATATGCTCCCACAATCTGCATAATAGCAGATGCTCAGATATGTAAAGCACACCTTGTGTTCTCAGGGAGGGAAAAACAAAAAAAAAAAAAAAAAAGAAGGTTATTGTTCAAAACAGTTTTATCAGGAGTAAGGACTGTGATCATTAATGTCTCCAGTCAAGACCAATAGATGATTGCTTTGATTACAGACCTGTTTCCTGACAGTCCAGAGCAGCATATATAGTAGAGCACCGGTGCCTACTGTGCATCTCTGGTATGGCTGAGTAAAGCACTTGTTCATTTGCAGTGAAGGGTAACATGAAACAGGCCTCAGCCTTCTGATGGACAGGGAGATTTCACCTTCGCCAGTGAATGATAATGCATTATTAAATTTGCCTCTCTGCTCACTAGATACACTTAGCTGACCACAGCATATTTATCTCCCCATCCGAGGCTCACGTCTTGGCAGGAGAAAGCATTCTGTCACTTTTGAGGCATTTCAAAGATTAAAAAGAACCTCTCTCTTTTCAACGTCCCTAAAAGCATCCCCCCTTTTCAGTGAAATGTGATTAGCAGGAGATGGTGTCACGCAATGGAACATTCATGAGGGGGAGAACAAATATCCAAATGAACTCCCATGTCCTCGAGGAATAGCCCCTCTCTGCACCATCAGCAATCTCGCTCACATGGGCTGGGGAAATTTGATTGATCCTCTATTGAATTATTTTTTTGCACTCTTTCATTTCAACAGGACGCACTGACAAGTTGTTTGATCATAAAGCATTATTGTCTGCCAAGTCACATTTCAGGGTTGTGATGGCTAATGATCTTGCCTCCTGACTTAGGGAAAGTCAGGTAGTCAGCATGTGTTTGAAGCTCGCAACGCCAAGGACATCGAGAGGACTGAACAAAACACTATGCATTAAAGTCAGAAAGATGAAGAGAAGGAGCTTACACGGAACATATCGAACTTTTAATGATACTGTACGCAGATACCATCAATGTCAGTGAAATATTTACACCGCGAAAAGAGCACAGAACTGATGCAGAAACTTTTGCCTGACCCAAAGTCCCTCAACTTCCTTTTTATCATTGCAAATGCTTATGCACAGAAGGAACAGAACAAAGACTACAAAGGCTAAAAATCACTTTTTTGTCTTTTTCATCTTTTTTCAAACTATATCCCCTCTCTCTACATGAGCCCAACAGCGTCCACAGTCTCTTGCCCAAAGCAGCTGTATGGTAATAGACTGTGACACTTGTACCTGCTCCGCTTCCTCATTCAGACTGTAAACTGGGACTGCAGACGACGCACCGTGCGCCACCCCCTCAGCCCATCAACTGGACATCGAGGCAGCATCCATCCCGACAAAGACAAGGCGTGGCAAGTCGGCTTTGTCCATTGTGGTCACACCAGCGCTCGACGCATCAGCGATTGCTCGGTTGATAGCAGGTATGAAAGGAAGCACCTCTAGGTGACATAATACACCACAAGCTTCCATTTGTGCTTGGGAAGACATTATGAGTGCATCTCCTGTTGTGTCAACAAGGATATATAACGTTTACCAGGGAAGTGCCAATATCATATTACCAGTGATTCACCCGCTTTTAAAATATGGTTTACAGAATCAGTTTACATGCTGTAGTTGCCTCTGACTCTACTGTCAGGCGTTTCAGCTCAGCGTAAAAGAGATGTGGCATGCTTAACTGCAGTGGGAAGGCTGAGGTAAAGTGGTGAAATTTGTTGTTGGCAAAGTGCTTGCAAACTGCCACATGGTATTTAAAGAAACTCTTAGACTTCAACGTACATGCATATGGCTTGTGTTTCAAACACCTTTTCCCCAAGGAAATAAAATGATGTCAAGTGTTTGATGTCCAAAGTGAGTTTACAGCCAAAGGCTTCCGTACCTTTCAAATTTCCCCTTGTTTGTCAGCTACCTGCTGTTTCACGAGACAGAGGCTTGTCGGAAGCTATCGCCACAGACTTTCTGTTTGAAGCAATTCAATTAGTCACATGTGAGATAACACTTAGCTTTCTACTAGCCTTTTTTCTCACACATCATCTAATCTCCCTTTTTTCACAGGCAAAATTTGGACAAAAAATAATCAAGTTCAAACAACACCCCCCAAAAAAACGACTACCATCTGGTTACTCTGCACTGGGTGACACAACTTTGGAAACGGTCTTTTTTAGATGACAACAAACAGCCTTTGTCCTTCATCAGCAGAGATGACATGAAAAAGATGAGACATGTTCATAGGATGTGAGTGATGTGACATTATAGTGGCTGTCTCTGAGGTGTCTGGCTATTTAAATAGCCTCCATATGAGCCGGGGCACTGCATCCTTTCTCTGCGCTTACTGTGCTCTCTTCTAAGAGTGCATTGCAAGAGATTAATTTAATGCTCTGCCAGGATCATAAAGATCAAACAAGTGGAGAGATATCATTAAACCATTGGAATGTTATCTCATTTATCTAAACAAACTGATGCGATGAACAAGCCTAATTAAAAAGCTCACCATAAACAAAGCTTCGGATGGTGAGGCCTCTCCCCTCTTTAACAATGGAACACATTTATTTTATTAATCTAATGCATCATGTATCATATCATTACAGTTCAATATATCTATCATTAATTTTATTCCCTTCACTTAAAGCTTTTATTGGAATTACTTTGGTTATTAGTTGGTTCTAATGTATTGGTTACCTCTGAATCTGGCTGCTACAATCTCTCTTATCTCGCTGCATAAACCTGTGCATGTTATTCAAATTGCCTCATTTATTATGATAGCTTCCTCATGTAAATTGTGCTGACTGCTCGCCCTTGCACAGTCCTCATTAGACTAATGAAAACCTTCAAACGAAAAAACTAAACAACCTGCCAAATAAAGGTCTGGGGTTATTATGAAAATTACAACTGTGGGAGCCGGGAGAAGCTCTCTTCATTAATTCATGCTCAGCAAATTGGTAACTAATTTAGTTGCACTCCTCTGCATTAATGGGTTATTTTATAAAAATGTTTTCCACAGCCTGAGACCTCTGGTGCACACACTGGAGAGCTCAGAATCCTAATCAAGTCCAGTGACATATTAGGAATTGACAATCTCAAAGATAATACAGTGTGTGTTTGCAAGTGGATGTGTTGTGGGTCATCCATCCAGAATTGGTGTGGATTGCCTGGTCATTTGCTTTCTCCTCTAATCCTGCGAAGAAATTACAGTCCATTTGTGTTGATTATCTGTGTATGGAGGAGGCACTTCAGTGAAGATGTAAGATCTCTGCTGCTGAGGAAACATTCAGTTGATTTACTATGTGGACACTTGGTTAAACCTTCTTCTTTCTCTCTGTTTGTGCTGCTCTGTTTGTTTGGCTAAATCGTTTCTTTTTTTCTATTTTTTTTCTTCCCCACACACAAACACTCTTAAACACACTTGCACACACATACTCACACATGTGCACAGACAGTTAGACAGTTTGTGACCCACAAATTCAGCTCATGATCCTGCTAATTATTACTATTCACTGCTTCACACCCTGTGAGTGAAGGTCTAACACTGATCTTCACGTCAGCCCAGCCAACAGGGAACATACAGCCCAATGATTTCCATAGTGGGTTTAATATCATTATCAGCCTCACCCCACCCTGCATCACCCAGTACAGCACATCCCAGCTCCGCTAAAACCAACAGAGAATACTAAAATCTATTATTTGCTTCATTTTGTATTTAATCCGCCACGCTTAGTAGATTTCTATCCGTTTCTTTCATTTTCATTTTCCTTTTCTTTTTTTTTTTTAATGCCTGGCAAAACTATAATTAAATAAGCCCAGCAATTAATAATAAAAAAACATTTACTCTGGACATTGTGATTGAGGTTAACATTTTGAATAATCTTCCTGCAGATCAGAGTTTGTGGGGGTGATAAGAAATAGCACCACATGTAGGGCTGATTATAAAATATAAAAATATAAGTGCTAATTAGGTATATGTATTTAAAGAAATCTGATGTAACGCAAAATGCAAAATCTGTGTCAAAACCAGATTATATGAAACCTATTTCTAGTGCTAACAAACCGTAGCAGCACTGTTTAATGTTTTTGTAATTACTCCAAGAACTTGGAGACTGAGCAGCATAATCAGTGGCTCTACTTTTTTACTGTCCCTTTTCTCCCCTTTTTGTTAATGTAAGAATATTCCGGGCCATCCACATCTGTTTACTGTAACTGCAGTGAACAGTGTCCTGTTACAGCAAGGGGTCATGGGTTCATGGGTTCATGGGAACATAAATTCTGAGTAAAAATTTGTTGAAAGTGATGAGAGCCTTTCAGAAAAGACATGTATAACATGCAGAACATAAAAAAAAAAAAAGAATCCACTTCACCCATAGATTTTTTGTGGAAGGTGTCACATTAAATGTCATCTATAATGGCATCTATAATGTAGGGCTGACATGTGCTGTAAATGTAGGGCATCTGCACTAGGTAGACACACCTAGACTCGACTCTGTGGAGTTCCAAAATAGAATCAAGAGCAAGAAGAATAAACAGAGAAACTGCTAATCCTGTATTTCTCAAATAGTTTTTATCAGTATTCAGGACCTTAAAAGATTTTCTAAAATGTTTCTTGTGTTGAAAAATTACACGAGGCATGCAGAGTGTTTTCTGACAGATCAACAACTGATGAAATTACAGTTATCTTCCGTTGCAACTGTTACAAAAATGTCCTTTACCGAAGTTGATTAAACTCAGTTAGAAGACATATGTCACTGTTCATTTTGCAGTGGGAATATTGAAAATCTTTGTTTAGACCACATGACTTTATCATAGTTTTTCTTTTTAATGAAACTTGGCTCACCTTTGTCAGCGTGCATCCTCTTTGCTTCATGGCTCATGTCGTGGGCCAAGTCTCCCTCTTTAGGTCCAGGTGGAATGTTGGGGGACAGGCCTAGCAGGGCTTGGTTCATGGACAGGCCATTGTGGTGTGCCGCTGGATGGAGATAGATTTCTTTAAATAGGACGAAAAAGAACAACAGTTTTCACAACATGTTTGGCTCTTGATCTGCGTGGGGAGGTAATAGAGAGACGTACGTATCCTGTCTGAGGAGCTTTCTGTGTGTGCTGGGGAGCTGGACACACTGCTGCTGCGGTGGGACGATGGGTGACTGCCTGGCCTCCTGTTGTCTTCTAAGGAAGGAGCAGGGGAGGGACTGTCCGGCACACGTTCCTGCAACCCCAGCAGCCACAAAAAAAAAAAAACACACACACTCAAAGTAAATATCCAGTGCAGGCTGAAACATTACACCTGCCGGAAGAAGCGGGTTACGTTTAAACTGTCTAGTATTAAAACTTTGCCGCTTTGTGCTTTAAAATTTACCTTTATAACAGAGGTGACCATTCTGGAGGGCAGACTCTGGCCCTGTGCTGCGGCGGCCATGTTTGCGATGGTGCTGAGGTGGTTCATCTGGCTCATCGCCATGGTGACGGAGGCTGGGGGCAGGCTGACAGGGATCAGGGGGTGTGGCATCATCATGAAGGGGAGTTCCAGGCCTGAGACACATGAAGAGGTCGTTGGTTACTCAACGATGCGTATTATGAGTGCGATATTCACCGGGGAAACTTCTGAGTCTCCGTCTGAAAACTCAAAACCTGCCGCTGTTCAGTCAGCAATCAGTCATTTCCATCAGTGAGATAGCCTTTAAAACTGGTGTCCAATAACACTAAAGCTTTACACTGCAATCCATCAGGAAAAAAAAATTGGAATAATTCAAATTAATTGCTTCTTGGGTATCCTTACCATGTTAACATAATACACATAAATGTTTTACAATATATGTTAATAATAGATTCTACTGCAATAATAATAAAGAAACCAGGGATGATAACTATATACACAGTCATTCAAAGACCAAAGTTTACACAGCAGTAAAGTTGCATCAATTATTCTATGATGAATAAAAAAGAGCATATTATGGAAATTGTCTCAATATTTACATATAAAAAATATCACTGTAAAAACAAAGGCAATCTTGAAAGCCATTACCCAAATGACTAGTTAAATGTGCTAATGACAAACAAGTACCGTCAGACTACAGTATGGCAATGACTTTAGGCTAATTATAGCAGCCCATATACCAGACCAGCGAGAGAAGAAGAAGAGAGCGGGACCGAAAAGAGTCACTTTCAGCTCGCACAATAATGGGATTTTCATTTCTTTCTCTTTTATATGCACACAAATTATTCCATTACAACATCAGAGATATCTTACAAATGTTTTAAATTATTCAATTGCTGTCTGGCAATAGACGCCTAATTGGGAAAACTGAAGACATTAGTAGTCTGAAAATGTAAAGAATGTCTAATAAAGATACCATAGGGGGTTAGTAGTTAGTCAAAATGTGGCCCTGCACTGTGCTTCTGAATGGCTTAATGAAAACAAGCCAACTTTCAAAGGACATGAGCGCAGACAGAAGGTCAAAGCTAGGTGTCTGTACCCAACCAACCAAGCACCCCCCCCCCCCCTCTCCCCCTCTCTGCTCTATGGGGACTTTGAACTGGCAGGATCAAAAGTGACTGGGAACAGTTTGGTCTCATTCCTCCGCCACTCAGATGCTTTTCCTCAAATGCTTTAAAGAAAACCTCATAGACACTATTGGATCTGATTGAGCCTCTCTGTTGATTTTTCACTTCTTTTTTTTCCACTCTCTCTTGGCAGCCTGGTTCAAGGTAAAAAGCTGCGTGAAAGAAAGAGGGAGAAAAAAAGATACTGCACTACAGAAAGCTGATCCACAAAACAACTCCACTCTTCTTTTCTGACAAAACATCAGTAGCCAAAGGGCAAGGAGATCTGCATGGCGAAGCCTCTAAAGAGAAGGACACTGGTTGAAAATGAAAGGACATGAGAAGTACTCCTCTCTGTCATTCCCCTCCTTCCAAAAGAAGCATTGATTTCCATAAGAAAGATGGCATGCAGTTTCTCAGTGGCGAGTATTCCCAAACAATATAAAGCAGGGGAGATTAAAGAAAGACGGAAGCCAAGCAGCACCTTGTATCAGCGCCTCTGCTGTAGCTCAGACTGAATCAATTACTACTCAGCAGGCTAAGCTCAATTAAAAAACACCACAGAGGGCCTGATTGCGGAGGTACTTACTGTAGGACAACATGAAGAGGTCTAGGCTACCTATCAGCCTTTCAAGGCCACTCAAGGGCCAGAGTGAAGAGACTTATTCTGCCTTTGAGGTGGATACATTACACCAATTCAATCAAATACGGCTACACGGATAAAGACACATGGACTTAATCGGTCAAATCAATAAAGTACAAAAAGAGGTGGGGAATCACCTAAAAAAAAAAAAAAAACTATCTGTAACTCACTTTATCTCTACTTGTTGGTTTCTTTGTTGTCGCTTGTACTTGATGGTATATGAATTTCAGCGACGTGTCTCCACCTGAAAGACAGCCTGATGGGGAAACACTGGACCTCTGTTCCCTCCAGTGGGTATTAGTCTCGCTTTCAGTGCCTGTCCAGCCCCTTTCATGTCACCCCATCCTAAAGCGGTGTTTCTCCCATAAAGGCCCATTCAGGCCACTGTAGGGGAATGTGCCACAGACCAACGAGGGTCCACCAAATCCCTTTATTTGTAGCTGAAAGGAGCCAGGTGAGGAGGATATTGGTTTATTCAACGAATCTGGCATTTTCGCAAAGACAAGTTAAGTGTTTTTGTTTCATTCATATGCAATTTCTTCCCCATTGCTTTTACTCTTGTTAAATGAAAGGATTCAAAATAACATATATGCAGGGATTTTTGTATATTTCTTTTCTAAAAAAGAGAATCAACAAAAAACTCACTCAGACTCATTAATCACTTGGATATTGTGTAGATATTCCAGTGGGCAAACCGTCAGAAAGATATTTGTCAGTTTCTGTTTATCTCTGATACAGAAGTTCAGACCTGATGAGAGGTGAATTCCCACAAGCCCCCACCCCCCTCCTCGCTCCTGAAGGGCATAAACAATACATTTGGAGTAATTTACCTGAAGGAAGCCTGAGGGACCTGCAAAGGTGAACTCCTATTTACCATCATTAAAACTACAAATCACTTAATACCAATATAAACAGCTCAGCTATTATGTCGTGCAGTGCTTGGGAGTTCACGCATGGATAAGCAAAGATCTGAATCGCGGAGGATGAATTGAATGAATTAAAACAGCCCTTGGTAACAACATGATTAAAAAGCTGTTACATCAGAACCAAACCGCGCAGCTGACGCTAAGTCCGATACTTAAAAGAATCACGCCGAAAAAAAAAAGATTGAATGTTGAATGTTTTAAAATGATTAAAAAGAGAGCAGTAATTCATTTTGATGACAGGAATGATAACCTACGGTGATTTGCGCTGCACTTAATCTTCATCTAAACAGGACTTCAGCCTTTGTGGCCATCTAACCCTACAGAGGAAAATAAGAAAAAAAGGAACTAAGCCATTGTCATTTAAAATGGTATGGAGGTAGCAGCCAACCCCTTACCCTTAACTCTGTTGTGGACAGATTTCCCCTGACAAAAATTAAACTAGCTCCTACTTGGCACTTTATTATCTCTTCAACTGAATGATTTATTGTTTGTGGAGCGAAAGAACCAAAGAGAGGGGGAAGATTACATTTCCAGCCAAAGCTCAGGCCTGATCTCGTTTTTTACTCCCTCTGTCCAGGAAAAAAGCTCCCGACAAACAATAATGTCAGCTGTAATTGATCGGAGGTCGCCGGCTGGGCCTGCAGTAAAAGCACACTATTTAAGCGACAATCGGCCCCGCGCTCTTCAGACGCTGGCTAATGAAGCTGTCTGTCTGGGCTATTTACCTTCTCTTAAATGGAAGGGGAGAGATGTACTGTAAGAGACAGGGCTGGAGAGGATCTGCCTCTCGCTCCCGTGAAATAGGACCTGCACATGCCTCAGGAATGTATAATTGGTTGGCGGAGCCAAAGCTGTGGATCCGGTGCTAATTAAATGACTTGTTTAAAGCCTATCTGTCTTTGTTTGGGCGGCTCTGGGCTTCAGAACAATGCATTGTAAATGCTGTTGTCAAACAAACATTCCTGGTTATCCTTTGATTTGAATTGAACAAGACAAAAGGCTGATTTGCTCTGTGCTAAGCCTTTGGTTTTCATGGTGTCGAGATATTTTTTCCTCTTCTGATCTGTCAAACTGAACAGGACCATTCCAGTCAGGCAGCTAAATGGACTGACTCACTGCACAATGCGTACGCAGTCTGCTGCTGCAAAACAATCTGAGTTTTCCTCCTAATTGCGCTTGTAAAATGGCCCCATGTCGTGTATGTATTTCTCCAACAAAGGTGAGACGGTGGTGCTACACACATGGAGTCTTTGTTGTGGTCATATCAAGGGTTTGCACACCAGTCCCAAAAGGAAATGAATGGCTCATGAAAAAGTGTCTGTCATGCAGCAAGACATTTAGAGGTCTCTCCATAGCACTAATCAGCTATTCATCTTTACTATAACTGTTAATCTCCAAAATCAGAAGCCCTGGCATGTGAGCTGGAGGGAGCCTTACAGCCATTAGATCAAACATAAGACACAGGCTCTATAAATATGCTGTCTGGCATCGTGGTGCCACTTTATACAACACGAATGTATGCTTACATATACACAGAAACACAACTGCTCTCACACTCACTCACACACATGCAAACAAGAAAAAACAGACACACACACAGATGGCAGGTTCAGTCAAGGCTGGTGAGTCCTGTTTCTCATTAAAATGGGAGGGGGGGGGGGGGGGGGGGGAAGGTATTGAGCTTTGATGTAGCCACCCACAGCCCCTCAGTGTCATTGAATGAAACTTTGAAGCCTTTTGTGTTTACGCAGTTAATGTTGATAATAAAGCAAACATCTTGTCTTTGTTAAATACCTGCCGCAAAACTCACATATATGCACACACACACACAAACAGTCACATAAAAAGAATACATCTCGCCGTAACAAGGAGAGGTAAACATGAAAACATATGGGTACACACTCAGACTGTGATACAGTAGAGATAATTGTGTATAGGTGCGTACACGCATGGAGCCGGCCAGACATAAAAACACATGCAAACAATATGCTTTACGTTCCAAGAGCAATGATGACTGGATACATTTCAAGCCCATTCTCATCAACAAACAAAATGTGTTTCGCATGCCAGGATAAAGAGATACACTTTCCAATGATTCGGGTGGGCAAAGATTTTCCTGCCAAGATGCCTAATGTAACATAATGTAAGAGAAACCATGATAAGAAAACATTTCTGGTTTGATGAGGTAACATAATTGCTTTCCTACCCAAACCACTGGAGTGTAACATGTGGTAGAAATTATGGAGGAGACAGACAGAGGTGTTTGTCCTTTAAGTGTATAAAATCTAAGGCAGGCAACTTTTATAGGATAATTTAAATCCTCAGCTCTAATGGCACGCATTCCTTATGAAATTGAAAGATCAATCATCTCCGTGACAGATCTGTTGTGAAAAAAAGTTCTTCCTATCTTTGAAGAGAAA